CTGCTCATTTTGCCAGTGTATATTAATTTGATGCAGTCTGTTTAGGAATGCATGGATTGCTTGTTAGTTCATGTTAACCTGAACTTGAACTTTGCAGACATGATTCATAACAGTTTATGATTAAAGAATCTCAAAATAGCAAGTTGTTCATTGTGCCTAAAAAGTCCTGTTTTGTTGTTGAGACAATGCATGTTATGTGTTTGTCTGTTGTTACAGGTTTGTAGATGAGCTTTTGTTTCATTCAAACTATATTTTGAGTTGTGTGAGAAAAGCACTTAAACTGACATCCATGTCTCACTGTTGCAGACAGCCAGATGTAAGCATAATTTATATTAGTATTTACATACTGTATATACAGTTTATATATATTATATATTAGTATACTATATATAGTATTTTTCTTTTTTCACTGTAATAAATAAATCTGTAAAATAACAGAAAAAGTACTGGCAGCTTATTACACAAGACATTATCCAAAAATTCGAAATACTGGTAAAACACCTGTAAAAAATAAATTCCTTCATATTATACAGTACATTGTGCCCTATTTTTTACAGACTTTTGAATGGACAGGCCAGTGTTTTCACTATTTTCCTTTGTTCTCCACATAAAATTTGACATTTTGAATACTGTTGTTACATGTTTTCAAGCTGTATTTCAACTCCACGTCAATTACCTGCTACTGATGTGCCATAAGATTGTTCAGCTTAATTAACAACATTAATATCGCTGTCTTGCTTGTTATTAGAGTTGACATGAGATGACGAGAAAGTTTGTTGTTTGTGCTCTCTGTGCTGAGAGAGAATGTTGGCACTATCCCGTCAGCTGAAGGTGATTGATGCTTTCAGACACAAACATCCTCTAGGGATGTCAGAGGCCTCTCACAGGTCTCTGTCAGAGACCATGTGCAAGCAGGAAAGAATCTTATCGTTTCCCACTCTTTCTATTCTTATTTTGTCTTTTCACTTAAAGAAGATTTCTTGTGACAATCTTGTTGTTTCGATAAGTTTGCCCTAGATTTTTCTCTTCAGAAATCTTTCATCTCCTGTGGCATGCACTGTGGGAACAGCTAAGTTTCCTTACTGCCGGAGTCAGCAATTTTACCATCACATGTGCAGCTGAGAGCCCTACACTACAATAAACACCACAGCGGGAGGTAGTGGTTTAATAGTTAGAACTCGCATTGCACTCTGTGCTGGGGTATCATTTTCTCCCGAAACATTCACTTTTTTAAGGCTCCCTCGCTGTGCGATTTAAAACCTAAATCTTGTTTAAAGTCGGCATGAAACTGAAGTTGCTATTGTCTTTTCTTCTCTACTGTGACGTATATCCGAGTTAAACGGCATCTGAAATGAGAGGGCGGGACTTGATTTCGTCCTTTCGGGAATTGATTGGATCGTTGGAAGTTGGGGTGTTGCTAACAAAATGGAGGCAGATCTGAATACCAGTTTGCAGTTAGTGGTGGGGGATTTCTCTCCACTGGATTCACAGCCGACACCCAAGCATGAATAAATGTTTTATTTATTAAGGATGACGACGACGATCAACGGCACAAGACATGCCTAAACATGCGCGCGAGAGAGAGAGAGACTGCCTGAATGACTGAGCACGTCCTCCATCAGGTTAAGTCATATTCATGAAAAAAATTAGTTTGCGATGTCCTATGAGTAATGTTGTCGTAATATCCTAATATCTTTTCAATGTTTAGTGGTAACGTACCTCATGACTGATGTCAGTGCTATAAAGTGAAGCATCAGCTTCAGCTTTTTCCCCTGTTGTTTATCCCAGCTTTACAGCTAGCTAGCTTTTGTTTATCCTAGCTCCGCCCTTGCGCCATAGCTCATGACCAGAAGAGAAGATGAGTCGTTTTGAGGGGGAGGGGAGGTTAACGTTTTTGATTAAAGATTACGAGGACACGTGAATTAAAAAAAAATAATGAAGTGCACGGATAAATTATTTATAATAAACACTACAGTATTTTCAATTTTGATTTCATGGTGACTTTAAAGGATATAGTGAAATTTCTCTCTGGGCGAAAAAGCTGGCGACTGTTGAATAGATTGTGAATGAAGGAGAATATTTGGCTTGTTTTCTGATCTAGTTTTGTGGAGTGCTGGGTGAACTGTTGAGGGAGAACGTTAGGAAGGAAAAGTAGATTTAAAAGAATGATGAAAAATCTCATTTTCGTTGGTCTTTTGAATCTTTGTTTTTTATTTCTTGAAATTACTTTTTCTTTAAAAAATTATTGTTTGTGTGATGCACACAGTAAAGCACACCAGTGGTGAGGCCAGAAATTTTAAAGTAAGTGGACCTTGGTGGAATAGGGTGGACCCCAGTACATCATTTTACAATACATGAGATACAATACATGAGAATGGGAACCTAATTTTGACAGCTAAAAATGGCATCATCACTTTTTGGCTGAAAGAGAAAGGCCAAAAATATGAGCAGAAAATATATGCCTAAACATTTTTAAATAAAAATGTGACCGTAGGGGTGTGCGATATCATGTTTTTTGATCGTGGACGATTAAAATGTCTCCACAATCTGCTTTTGAAGAAATATCGTAGTATCGTGCTACAGCGCACATTCTATCAGTTGCAGTTTCTGGTGCCTCCATCTCAATATATTATACATACACACATTCACATGGAATGCTAACTCAGTGGTAGAGTTATATGGAAAGCCATTGGGTCAGAATTCGCACGCTTTTCACCGCCGTATCAATATTAAAACGCCGTTTTCAGAACGCCGCCAGGCGTTAAATAAGCGCCGTTAGGCGATAAGTTAACGGCAGACGCCACCAGGCATTAAAATAATGCCACACGCCGACCGACGTTATGTTAACGCCTCACGCCACTTAAGATGCAGATTTATTTGCTCATCTACATGGACACGCCTCTCATGGCTACAAGGAATCTACGGCAAGTCGGAGCATCCAGTTTGCAAGAGCGCGAAGATGGCAAAAAATGTTTTGCAAAGTAAACACTGTATATGACTGTGAAGTGTAAATGCACATGAATTTTGTTCAATAAAATAAAACAAAACAAAATAAAAAAAGTTGTATCTTAAGGTCTATGCAGGGCTTCCGGTGCAGCACCGGATGTAGTGTCTGGCGCGCTTTCCGATTATTAGGTCATTATTAATCTCTTTATCAGAGAGCAACCAAGATGTCTGGAGTACCTAATCATTTTAGAAGACGTCTGAGTGGGATTAGGGATCGCATAAATGCCCAACTTGACAGTTTACTCGAATCACCACCTCCAGAGCATGGAGAACAAAGTCTTGTAGACAGGTAGGTAAGGAACGGCTGTAAAGTTATTTTAACGTTAGGCATTTCGTGTTTAGAGCCCAAACCAACTCAGATAAGCCTACATACAAATGCCTTTTGCATAGCACAAGATTTAATTTAAAGAAAATATTTTTATTAGCCCATGACATTATGATAACAAACTAATAGTAAAGTGTTCAGAAAAATATCCCTTTTATAGCACCAGGCTCTGTTTTTGAAATTAGCACTTTATATGTCCTTTAAACTAATAAACTAAATAGTGAAATGTTCAGAAAATATCTGTTATAGCACACAGCTGTTTTTTGAATTGGGTCCTCATATGTCTGTATGTCTATCTATCTATCTATCTGTAAATACTTTAAATAAAATATATTAATTAGCCCTATAAATCAATTGGATGATTTAATTACACAATTTAAACCATGACATTATAATAAAAAACACTAATAGTACAATGTTCATAAAAATATCCCTGTTTTAGCGCATAGCAAGATTTTTTTATTGGGACATATGTCTTAAAATAATTTTAGAACTTTAAATGAATGCAATACTGAAAATTCATGCAATGTAAATCCATAAAACTAAGTTATAACACTGTTGACTTAAAGGTAGTCACCAGTACATTACTCAGAATATTTCATTCCTTATATTGCACATAGCTTAGATTTCATTTTTTTTTTACAAATATTTAACCCATTTAAATCCATTAAACTACAACACTGTTTGGCCTAAAGGAGTAAAACAAATATGTAAGTTACAAACTGTAACTGTAAATTAAAAATTTTTTGCAGTTGGTTTGATACAAGGGTGATACAACGGGAAGTCGGGCAGGTTTCACGTTTGAGTCTGGAGTCAAAAACCCCAGCAGCCATAATTGCTAGTGGGCAGCTAGGAAGATCAGCACTTTATGTACAGGAGAAGGTAATCTAATATAATATTCAAAGGCCTCTTTGTGTCTGCAGTATTGTGTAGAAACTGTGTTCCTAGTGTTTGATATATATCATATCAGTCTTCATATGTTGGACAGCATCCTATTATTTTATTGCTTCCTTTGTATAATGTATAAGCAATAGTGCTATAAGTATTGCATGAACAATAGTACATTCAAATGAAAGAACGCAGTTGTTCAATTTTACAGAGTAATTCTGCACTTGCACAAGTGAACTCATCTCCAGCTCCAGCTCTAGCCATGGCCTCCGCTCCAGCTCTAGCCGTGGCCTCCTCTCCAGCTCCAGCTCCAGGGACATATCTGCTTTGTTTAAAGCAGAACTTTCTCCAGTTGGCAGCAACAGGAGAGTAGTGGAGAGTAGAACATTCTGTTTCTGGAGGGACTGGCTCATAAATGTGGAAGGTATGACATCAACCTGAAGCTGTTATCTCTCTCTCTCTCCCCCCTCCCCTTTTATGTTCCATCCCGGGGGAACCAAACCCATAAGACCTTTGTTCATCTTTGAGAACACAAATTAAGATATGTTTGATGAAATCCCATAGCTCATGTGTGCTTTTAACATGCTATCCCTGTATTAAAATGCATTTAGTTGCCACTTGAACAAATCTTTCATACACTTTTAAATATACTCATCATACTTAGAAAATAGACTTATGAATTATTTAAAATATAAGAATACGAGTTCCAGCTCTAGCCGTGGCCTCCTCTCGAGTTCCAGCTCTAGCCGTGGCCTCCTCTCCAGCTCCAGCTCTAGCCGTGGCCTCCTCTCGAGTTCCAGCTCTAGCCGTGGCCTCCTCTCGAGTTCCAGCTCTAGCCGTGGCCTCCTCTCCAGCTCCAGCTCTAGCCGTGGCCTCCTCTCGAGTTCCAGCTCTAGCCGTGGCCTCCTCTCCAGCTCCAGCTCTAGCCGTGGTCTCCTCTCCAGAAGTTCCAGTGGCATTTTCTTTACTCAGTCCAGACACAGATATTTATATCTCGGATGAAGATGAGTATGAGCAAGTGATTTGATATTGTTGTTAGACATGTATTTATAGTTGAATCAAAAGAAGAAGTAACATTTTGTTTTATTTCTTGTTTTCAGTGTTGACCTCAAATCATTGTTAAATACTATGTCAAACAAAGTGGATTTTACGGCTGCACCCATTTCCAACCAAATCAATGCAACACGATGCAACATCATAGACAGAGGTATCAGAGCCTTCCGACGCCAACGTTTTAACCCTGAGGCAAAACTAGACGTTGTGTTCAGAGATGCTGATGGGATTGGTGAGGGAGCAGCTGATGAGGGTGGACCTACAAGAGAATTTTTAACTTTGCTGATGAGGGAAATCCACTCATGCGAAATATTTGATGGAGAGGACTGGAAAAAAACACTTGCCTGCAATTCCAAAGGTAACCTGTTGTCTAATGTTTTTTTTTGTGTGTGTTTACATTAAGCATTGTGGAAAAAGTGTTTGCCTCATTTATAATTTTCTGTAATTCTGCACATTTTCACATTTAATGTCATCAGGTCTTTAAACAAAGCATCTTTAATTATTAAAGTTAACACCTAGTGCCCATGTGGAAAAAAAGTGATTAATTTGTCAATAATTTAATACATGTTTACACCCATTAGCAGCACACATTTTCTAAGCATTGTTTATAGACATAATAATGCTTTTCCCATGTGTTACAGCACTGTACAATGGAATGTACAAACTAGTTGGACGGATGATAGCTGTGTGCCTGGTACATGGTGGTGTGGAGCAACATTTTTTTTCAGAAAGACTGTTCTGTCAGGTGTGCAAACTTCAGCCCCCAGTACCAGACCTTCAAGAGATTGTGGACTACGACTTCAGAGCAAAGATGACCAAGGTTAGTTTATGTATTACACATTTTCATTTATGCCAGCTGTTGCTTTGTTAGTAATGGTAATTTGGCGATAGTTGTAATATCTTAGAATGTTGAAATTGTTAACCTTAACCTTAAAAAGCTCTTACTTAAAGGCTTTGTGTGTGCATTAAATATTTTAAAGTATTTTGTTTATTGTATTTAACGGCTAATTTTGTGTTAAATTCATTGTCAATTTAGATCCAGTCGGCACAGAATGTAAATGACGCACAGTGTGCTATCATGGAGGCGTCTGACCAATTAAGTATGCTGGGGTCTCTATGGCACATCCAGACGTTAGAGGACAGAGACAACTTGGTGGAATCGGCTACCAAGTTTTTCACTGAGAACAGGTTGAGGGATTCCTTGGAACAGTGAGTATAAGAATGTACAGATATTTTCACCTGACAAATTAACAGTAATATTTTGTCATTGATTCACATCGTGTACATGTTTTGTTTATCTAGATTTAAAGAGGGCCTGGAGTGTCTTGGGCTTTTGCCTTTGATACAAAAGCATCCTGAGCTCTTTAAAGAGGTATTTATGTACGAGGAGAAGCCACTTTTGGCCGAAGACATATCTGCTTTGTTTAAAGCAGGATTATCTCATCTGCTGCCTGAGTATGTAGAAGCCTCCCCTTTGCCCATTCCAGGCTCCTCAGCATGGTTTGAAGTCTAAAAAGTAAAAGTTTTTAAAAAGTAAATAAAATAATAATAATAAAAATTAGAGCATACTTTTTTGTTTTGTTTTAAATAGTATATCATGTTATGTTTTTTAAAAAGGAAGAAAAAGTACCCTCAAAAGATATTTTAAAGTCATATAACTGTGTTAAATGAGAAAAGCAAAGAATGAGAAAAAGCGAGAAAAGCAAAGAATGAGAAAAAGCAAACAAAATGTTGCTTTAGAAAGAAATATTTAATTTACAATTTATTACACAAACTTTTAGGCTACACTGACAATACTTTTTATTTTTTTAAGCTGCATCTGAATCAGTATTTACATATATTTACAGACTAAAACAGTTTGGTTACCAGCATTCTTTAAAATATCTTCTTATGTTTCTCAAAAGAAATAAAGACATTTAGGTTTGAAACAACATTGGGGTAGGTAAATGTAAATAAACAGAATTTCAATTTTTGTGAAACTATCCCCAAAATATTTTAAATATAAACTGAAATGATACTCACAAATGCATCAAAAAAACTGCCAGTGGGTGCCAGTAAATGTTTAAAAATCATTGAGTCCATTCGTTCAAATGGCTGATTTATTCAGGAAATAAGAAAGGTTATTTTATTGAACAAAATTCATGTGCATTTACACTTCACAGTCATATACAGTGTTTACTTTGCAAAACATTTTTTACCATCTTCGCGCTCTTGCAAACTGGATGCTCCGACTTGCCTTAGATTCCTCGTAGCCATGAGAGGCGTGTCCATGTAGATGAGTAAATAAATCTGCATCTTAAGTGGCGTGAGGCGTTAACATAACGTCGGTCGGCGTGTGGCGTTATTTTAACGGGTGGTGGCGTCTGCCGTTAACTTATCGCCTAACGGCGCTTATTTAACGCCTGGCGGCGTTATGAAAACGGCGTTTTAATATTGATACGGCGGTGAAAAGCGTGCGAATTCTGACGTACATGGCTTTCCATAGAGTTACACTCAGAACACTGCACTTATTCGCAATCACAAACAGTGTTCCCAATTTAGCAACTTTGTTGCTAGATTTAGCAACTTTTCAGATTACCCTAGCAACTTTTTCTTCCAAAAGCACCTAGCAACAAATTTTGCTATTTGTTTTTTATTTATTTGGCAACTTTTAGCAATTTTGATGACAATTTCAAATGATAAAAAGGCACACATTTTCCATCTAAATTAGACAAAAAGAGGAAACCAAAGATGCCTAGCAGTGCACACATCACGTGAATTAAGTTAACTGCTATTTGCAATTGTTCAATAATAATTAGGTGTGTTCGACTTGAAGCGGCGCTGTGCAGACCGATCGGTGTTTGACATCAAAGCACAGCGAGAGCGATTAGAAAGCATGCAGATCCGTCTGCTCTCTATTCTATTAGCTCTCACGGTACTTTGATGCAGAGACGTAATTTAATGTTGTATTTAAAAATACAGTTATTTATATTTTAATATTATTATATTATGCATTTATATTATTTTACGAACAAATCGAAATTAACATACATAAATTATATTTTTTTGCTGAGATTTGATGCAGTGACACAATTTTGCGTCGTGATGACATCATCGCACAATGACAATGGCACATTTAGCAACTTTTAGCAACAAATCGACCTTCCTTTAGCAACTTCCCATTAAAATTAGTTGGCAACACTGATCACAAAATTACATTATTTGCATGAGCTTTAAAGCCTTGCCGATTAAACATTTCATTCGCGTGCTGTTCTGACATGTGCTTTTTCTGAGCTTGTACACCTGAAGAGCGCGCACACTAAAAAGCCTGTCAAACAGCGCCTGATTACTGGACTAAGTTATCTTTTGCGTCTGATTACACTAATACTGTCAAAAACCCATGAGGTTTACATATAAACACAGTTGGTTATGTCTAAGATAAAAGTAAACAGTTGAGAGAAAAACGGATGTGTGTCTGTAGATATGTGCAGGTCTGAGGGCAGTCATGGCCCGCACCAGTGTAAATGTAGCCTTGCATCTAAGGGGGCTGGGACGCATTCACACACTACAGCCTCACAGTGAGCCACATCTCTAAGTGTAACCGGTAACGCAGACCGATCGTTGTATTACAGTACCACGAGAGCAAATGCGAAAAAAAAATTTCCATTGCAGTTTTGTGAATTATTCCTTTTTCGCATTGCCTGAAAAACCACCTCATGCGAGCGTAAAGACTTTTTTGCAATATATGGGCGTTTTTGCGAAATTGGCGCGTTTCCATTAGGCGTATTTTCAATTCGCAATTTCAATTTGCGCAATTTGAAGGGTAATGGAAATGCGCCAACTGATATGTTGTTTTGAGGTAAGCACCAGTCTCCTGTCCTTTCCCCAGAGCTGAAGGAGTCTGGACTGGAACGATAGCTACCAACTGAGGCACAGCTAACAGCTACCAACTGACGCACAGCTACGATAATGCGTCAACTGAGTGGCGCACTCTGCTAAGCCGCTGGCTTTGAAGCTCGTCCTGTTGTGGGTTCGAGTCCCGTGTGGTGCAACTTTATCTGGGGGCAGTCGTGGCCTAATGGTTAGAGAGTCGGACTTGTAACCCAAAGGTCACAGGTTTGAGTCTCAGTACCGGCAGGGATTGTAGGTGGGGTGAGAGAATGATACTACGACTGAGGTGAGACCCTTGAGCATCTTCTCCCTGGGTGCCGCATCAACAATGGCTGCCCACCGCTCTGGGTGTGTGTTCACGGTGTCTGTGTGTGTGTTCACTACTCACTGCTGTGTGTGTGCACTTGGATGGGTTAAATGCAGAGCACAAATTAAGAGTATGGGACACTTTTAAGTTGTGCCTCAGGACAGACAAGTACTATGAGAGAAATTCTTAGTTATCTGAAGATAACAGGATTAGAAAGTAGAATTTAAATGTCATAATAATACTACCGGTTGTTTTATTTATTTATGGAATAGTTTTTTGTTATTTTTTTGGGTTCCTTTTTCCCTCTTTCCCGTTAATGCTTCACACTCCAGTCCAGTTGGTGGCGGCAATACACCATAAATTGGCTTGTCAACCACCATAAAATCGTACAAGAAGAAGAAGAAGAGTATGGGACACCATACTTGGCTGTCTTTTTTTTTTAAATGGCAGCAGGGCTTTTGTTCACACTCCTTTCCAGTAGGTGGCGGGAATGCACCTTTTAAGTTGGTTTGCCAATCGCCATTAAATCCTAAAAGAAGAAGAAGAAGAAATGGCAGCAGACTAATTGTACTAATGCTGCCGCTTGTCATTTAAAGCTGGCTGCACACTAGATGATTTTCAAATCTTAAAAGATTTTAAAACCATGGGAGACCACAGACATGAAGACAGTTCAACCGATTTTTAGCCTTATAATCCTCTGAAAGCGCACACTAGATGATTAGACCAGACCACACACTTGATGATTGTAGGAACGATTTCACAGTGACACGAGATCTCACGGACACTCGCGAGATCAAACGTGACTCGAGAAGAAAAACAAATAGAGGACAATCGATGTTGTCAGCTGGCTCTCGCAGCACGCGTTCTGTTGTACAGTGAAAAACAAAGTATAGAAAAGAATATGGGTGATGTTCTCTGCTTTCATGGCATGTTTGTGGCTGCCAAGTTTCAGCTATAGAAGCACGCAACATACGGTAGGTGACGCTTGCTCGCTCTCATTGGCTATCGCGGGTATCACTTCAGAGGCAGCCCGATTTGAGTTCGGCGTCGCTCCGTCTCGATCGGGAGCAGTTAAATAATCACAATGACACCACACAATAGAGGATTTTTTGGACAAAAAATCATTTGCGACAAGCCGCGATTCGGGCCACACACCCTGATCCTTCGGGGGTGCAAATCAGGCTTAAAATCGGCCTTAAAATCTTCTAGTGAGCGACCAGCCTAAGGGATAGTTCACCCAAAAAAATTTAATTCTGTCATTATTTACTCACTCTCATGTTGTACCAAACCTGTATTCATTTCTTTCTTGTGCTGAACAAAAGAAGATATTTTGAACCAAAATATCTTAACCAAACAGTTGCTGGTCCCCATTGACTTCGAGAGTAGGGAAAAAAAATACTATAAATGTCACTGGGGACCAGTAACTGTTTGGTTACCCACATTCTTCAAAATAACTTTTATGTTCAATAGAAGAAAGAAACTCATTCAGGTTTAAAACAGCTTGACAGCGAGTAAATTATGACAGAATTTTCATTTTTGGGTGAACTATCCCTTAAATGTTAATAAAACAATAAAACGAAGAGAAAAATCACCTACGTTAATACAGTTGCTTTAATAAGAATCAATGTATAATTTATTCAGTGAAGTGTATGTAGTGTTTTATTTTTATATTTGTTCATTCAATTTCTTGAATGCTACTGCTAAATACTCCTACTGTACCTGAAAAATTAAGCACTGTTTGTGTTATTTGTATGTTATGTGTATTTCTAATGTGTATCTATGTTATTTTTTTTAATAGCAATGATAAAAAAATGACAGATTTTTATTTTCGACCACTTTGGCCTAAATAATTGCCATTCTTTTTTTATTTTATATTTTGTTACCTTGCAAGGCTTTATTTTTAAAATAGGGAAATTAGTTTGGTTGTACTGCTCAGACATCTTGCAAACTTGTAGAAAGGGACCGAAAGGGCACTTTAGTGTCGGTGATTAAAGGGGCAGCGGCTCGAGACCACCCCACCCCAGGCTGTCTTTCTCATCTCATTTCCCAGATCACATTTGCTCTGATCACCTCTCTCCTGACACATTGTCGGCTAGCTCAGCTTCCAGACAGCTCAGGACTATGACTCAAAGACTTTATTCTTTAGACCCCTTTGTCAGCATGTTTTTATTACCTTGCTTTTTTTTAGCTGTCCACCTCTTTGTTTCACGTGCTCCTTTTTTTCCTTGTACTTTTGTATTACTGACAAGTTCTTTCTGTAGTGGGTTTTTTTTTCACTCTGTTCAAGTTTCTTGGCTGCTGTTCAAATACATTGCTGATTTAAGAGTTTCCAATTC